CCCCCCCCCGAGATCATTTTCATGCCCGAAATTTAATTGGACGACCGTCCACAACTAGGTGTGGATACTAGATTCTCATACTTTTCATCTGTTTCTCATGTCGCCTCCTCCGTGGTGTGATTCCTCCTTGGTCAAAGAAAAAACTGCTAAGATGGGGCCTAAGTAGGCTTCCTCTTTCGCGTCCTCCCAAGCACGTGTGCTTTTTGCATTCTAGGTCCGCCCATCCGCCATTTCTTGAAAGCCATTGTTGAGGATTGCCCAGCCTCGAACACTTCACATTAGAGACCATGTTAATGTTTTTATTAGTTGTGTGTGTGTGTGTGTGTAGACAAGTAACTTTACTCCTTATGAGTTCATTCAACAAAGCTTACATTTCATCTCTTCCTGTGTTAGGAGTGGCAATTGTTTAATAGCCACTGTAGATGCTGCAGTAAATGCCTTGATCAGCACTTCTTTATATCTCGTCCGAAACGCAACCAACAGCAATGGCCCTATTGTTTTGTCATCAATTCTGCCAAAAAAAAAGAAAAAGAAAACATTGAGGGCTGTTTCGTGAACGAAACATGGTTGATATAATTTTAAAGAAATGATTTTGAAATCTGAAATGGAAGTGTTTAGAGAGATTTGAAATACATCTAATATGATTGTAAGTGACAGACACTAAAGACGACTTTAAAACCACAACCATCAAAATTCAAAAGATGCAATCAAACCATAGCAGCACCCGGCTTTTAACAAAAACTATTTCCATTTATTTAGTTAAGGAAATTGGTCCACGGAACATCTCTGTACCAAACATGTCTACATTATTGGCATTCGTATATCCTAAATTACCAAACAAATGTTTAACCACTTTGCCCACAATATAACAAAGCGGACAACTAAATACGGACAAAGGAAGTACAAACTCAATAATGAGAACAGAAAAAGATATAAGTAGACTCACAGTTTTAAACACAACATACTAGGCATTTGATGCACCATAAACTGAAAAAAGATATAAGTAGACTCACAGTCTTGCTATCTTGCATCCGAACTCATAAAAAAAGGTGCATCGACCTCTCAGATCCACGTGTGCAGCATCAGCTCCAATTTCATCCTTTGTTCTAACCGATTTTGATTTAGTCCATTAATTACAAAAGCTAAAATATTGTCAAAGGATAAGGTATTTAAAGTTTCATTTCATATACTATGTTGAACATGATCTAGTTCAAAGGCACAAGTACATACAAAAGATGAATCATGAACAAACAACAACAGCAACAACATTATCCCAGTGCCTCAAGGGCTCCCGCCCATTGCGGGGTAAGGGGGGTTAGATGTACGCAGCCTGTCCCTTGTGTTCAAAACATAGAACGGCTGTTTTGAGATGACACATGATGAGCATCGAAAGTAGTATTGACTAATTGCTACATCACTATTGAAAAAAGGGCACTCAGTTTAAAGTACCATTTTGCTTTACTACATCATACCCCAAATCAAGTGAATCTTTGGCTCCATAGGAGATGATGGAAAAAAGGGTGAATCAGGAACAAACTTTCTAAATTTGGAATCCAACTTGGTTAATTTGTTAAATACAGACAAAATTTTACAAATTTGGAACACTTCATGCACATAAGTACAACATTACAGAGATCAGATTTGTTGAATTTGTCATTAGCTCGCTGCAGTGTGCCGAATTAGCAGAATGAATATATGGAGTTCTCTCGTGTAGCATTGTAGTCCCATACTTTAGTTTACCTTTTTAGAAATTTAAAAATGGATTAATAAAGAAAACATTGAAAAGTTCTTCAACATGAGTGCATTATTTTTTTAAAAAAAAACAAAATAGGCAATGCAGTCCAGTTGAATAGTATGTTCTGGGTTCTGTTGCTATGTATGCACATATGCATCATACTCATGAAGTAGGTATTAGTTAACACTGTTAAAGTACCTCATACAGAACAATTGTAATGTTTCATAATTTCTAAATTCTAAAATCATGCAATCCCATCATTATCACCATAAAAACCACAAAGAGGGAGCATGCAGATTTTACTTGGTGTCAAAACATGAAGGAACTATGATCCTCACTGCTTCTTTTGCTAATAGGTCACATGCAAGCCAAAAAGGCATTTCTACTTCAGTGCCAGGTTCCACCTATAAGATTGAAGTTTCATTATTAGATATTGGTTTCATATGCAAATCCCCCCATATCAAAGCGAAAAAAATGATTTGTTTTTTTCTTCATATAATCAAAGTGTAACCTTATCTGTGTCATCAGAGCATTCAAATATCCCAACTCCACTGGCACTTCTCTGAAATACAGCACGAACAAGCTGAAACCAAAATATGAAATGGAACAAACAATAATCACAATGATCTATTCAATCTCAAATAAAGAATTGATTCCACAAAATTTGGGTTCTCTCCAACTCAAAAAACGGATATCCTAACCTCTTCTTCAGCTAAGATATCATCAATGTCATAATAATTTGTCATCCTACAAAAAAAGGTTTAAATTAAAGTTTGATCTAGGCATAAACATATGTAAAGGTAAAAACTGTCCAATAGAATCAAAAGCCAGAGAAACAAAAAGAGGCAGAGCACAAACAAGATGCTATTGTAGTTTTTTAAAAAATTATTTAATATATTCACAATTTTCTCTCCAATAGAATATATTTACCTATTCTTCAACCATGTAGTTGGAAATTTGATGTTACAACCATAAGTACAAAAATATTTTGTGGGAAGGTTTGTGATGGGTACATCCCCTACAAGAGTTAGCGAGAAAAATATCTTCTGACTAATGGGCATACAAGTTTCGTGTGTAATGGGAGTGTACTTAGCGAGAAACTCCAATAGTATAAGAGTTTTTTGACAAATGAGTGTACTTAGAATATATGATTGAATTACTCACAAGCTTTGTTAGCTTATTCGGATACAACTATAATACATTGATAATTATTCTTAAGTTCGTGGGTAATACAGATCAAATGTTTAAAATAAAACTAATCATACATTCATACCTTCCATGTGTTCCAATACATATACAGATTCATTCATATCCTATCCACTGGTGTTTTACAAATATGGCTTATAATGTGTGAACATACTTTCAACAAGAACGGCAATTTAGAGTTTAAAACTTTGAAGTTAAATAGTATGAGTCCAATAGCCACTAAACACAAATATAAAACGAATACACCATAATGCTAAAAAAACAACCAACACTAAGCATCTAAAATCGAGTTGGAATGCATCATCAACCAAATACCAAACGTTATAGCCCATAAAAGTTCAATAGAAATAGATAGATATTCAAACTTAATACTTCAGATGACACGCCACCAACACCAATGAAAAAAAAAAATCAATCCAAACTCTTAACTCTAATCATTATCCTAAAAACTAATTGAAATTAGTTTAATGAAAAAAGGATCATCAGCATCAGCATAAGTCACACAAATATCAACATATTTGCCTCCAAATCATGTATGTATATGTGTGTGTGTGTGTTCAATGCTTCCAAAAGCTGAAGTTCGAAGGATAAACTGAGGAAGTGCACTGTGTGGTGGACTACCGGAGTATGATTGCGAACCTGAGATCAGTGGTCGGATTGCCGAAGGCGGGCGGACCGGCGAGGAATTTTGGAGATCTCTGCTTGACGGCTCTTCGCAAATACTCCGTAACTTCTGACACCTCCGGATTTATGTGAATATTTTTTATTCAATTCATAACAAAGAAAAAAACCATTTGACTGAAGGGTGAAAATAAACAAAATTTAATATCTACTCCTTAAAAAGTTAGTATTTATAGATAAAAATATACTCCCTCCGTCTATTCGTCCAGTTTTGACTTTTAGAACTGTTCATCTAAGCACTTTGACTCATCAAATTCTCTTAATGTGTAAGCCTAATGGGGATGTATTCAATTAGGATTACGAAAGATTTAGATAGATTGTTTAAAGTCTATGAATTATGCAAAATCTATAGATTATTTTAAGTCTATGCAGAGTTTGATAGATTGTGATGTATTTTATCAGTAGAATTTTATAAGATTATGTTTGATTGTCTATAATCCATAGATTTTGCATACATAAATATGAATGATTTTATAAATATATACATTGTTTTAAGTTGTAACATGAACTATTGTAATTAGCAATTAAAAAACTTTGTTTATGAAATCGACAAAAAACTTAAAAATAATCCAATAAAATAAAAATAACTATTTTTTTAAAAAAACTATTGCTTTCTAGCTGCCATGTTAGATTAAAATGTGAGTCTTGGAAGATTTGTTGAATCTGAACTTGTGTTAAGCTGAACATTATTATTTTCACATAATAGTTCCTTTACATGTTTGGCTCTATTTACTTTTCTTGTGCAATGGAATGTCTTGTGCAATAAAGAATCAGTCGCTGAATTGAAGAACATACGGCAAAATATGTGTTCTATTACAGCATTACAGCAGCATTATAACATTACAACATTATGCCAAAATTCAAGAATACACGGACTAAAAAAAACTGATAATCACTTCAATAGCATGAGTTTGAGCAAGAACAATATAGAAAAACCTAGAAAAAATAAATATGGACAGATTTATATGGTGGAGAATAGTGAATTAATGCTTCAAACTGGACAGATTTGTATGGTGGAGCTGCAAATCAAAAACACTAATGAGATGAAAACGAGATTGAAGGAGATAAATAATGATTTCTATTACCTTGTTAAAATAACTATTGCCGGCTGTGGTAATCGACGAGACCTCGGAATCGGTGAAAGATCTGGAGTGCTGAACGAGGGAGCGCCCGACGGAGAAGGAGATCGAGAAGATGACTCGGGGAAGAAGAAGATCTTCGGAGAAGGAGATGGAGGCATTAAACGGACTCTTGGATTCTTGAAAATAGCTGCATGATGATAAAAAACGGGAGGAGCATTTGACTTAGGTGATGGTGACAACTTTGAGAAGTCTACTTGCAACACAACCAAATAACTAACATAATAAGTAGATACTCCCATCATCTTCGATTTCTAAGGCCTTGCACTGAGTTAGGATGTGGCAAAAGGTGAATACAAACACCACTGAAATAAGGGTAATGTAACAATATGCGATGGACTCTATATTTGATACGGTAAAGTACAATACTAGTGTTAGATTATCCTCAATACAAAGCTGACTGGAGAGGGAGAATGATGGTGCTAGATAGTGAAGTATATTTTTTTTTCAAAAGGCATATCATTGGCCATACGGGAGGCGATGCAATGGTTGAGGAACGAATTTGGGCAATAGAATGTGACTATTAAAAATGGCATGGACTATTGTTTTGAGATCTTTGAGCGTTGGTGTGTAAATGTTGTATTTTAACAAGGCTGTTTTTAATTTTAAAACATTGATGGGATATTTTTCCTCTTTATCATTATCTTGCATTAGAAAGTTTATTCATTTGTTAGCTCGAGCGCTTGATTTTATGTCTTATTTTTGGAGTACGATTCCACATATCCACCTATTATTTGGAAAATAATACGGAGTATAATATAACAGGATGCACATGTTCTCTCGTTATATCATGTCAAATTTGTAATAAAAAGATGTTTCAGAATAAATACTACGCTAAACAAGTATCAAAACGATTATTATGATGGAAAATAAATATTTTATTAATATTTATTATGAGTAGCATTTTCCTAAAAAAAACTTTCTCCTACCATCTCTATCGAGGAGAACACGGCCAACAGGGGAACTGCAGAAAAGGGCATATTCGAAATCTCGCCATCGCGGCGCCGCCTTTCCATCTCCATTTCTCCCTCTCGTCCCGGCCTCCGCATCTCCGTCGGGCGCCCGACCTGGTGTTGTTCGCTTCTTGCCGTTCACGTCTCCGCGGTCTCACTCAGTCTGCCTCCTTGCCGTCTCCGGACAGCGGGCTCTGAGGCCTAAGCCTGCCAAGTGGTATCATCAACTACAATTTGGAAAACTCCCAAAATTTTCTTGGTATGTTTAACACCTGAAGCCCTACTTTAGTAATTTCATGTTACTATCTTGGTTCAAGATCCAATAATTATCTAACTGGAGAAGGGATAAGATTGAAAGAATTTCAGTGTTTGGATTTTGGGGAAGCTCAGCAGAATGCTGGGCAGGGAAAGACACTCACTTTCGGGAGCTACAAGGAAGATTATGTTGAGGTGGATGTGTCGGATCTAGGAGTATACTCTGGGCACGGTGGCAGTGGCCTATGTGGATATAAACTTCCAAAAGCTAGACTGATATGGGTCTGAGCATTTAGCGAGGAGAAGTTCAGGGGCCTAGTTGATGAGTAGTACAAATGCCTAGTTAGGAGGTGGGCGTCAGAGTTAGAAGTAGACCTAAAAAGAGTATGAAGGATGGGGTTAGGCAATACCTTTGACTTTAGGATCTCACCGGGAATATGATGTCATGTAGGGGCATTTGGAGGTGTAGGACTAAGGTGGTAGGATAGACCTTTGGGTCTTCTTTAGTTTCTATGTGTGCTTTTGTGCCTTAGTTTATAATTTATGCATGAGTGTTTGTTTTTATACGTGGTTTCAATTTACTTGTGCTACTTTTCTCTGTCCATCTACTTTCTGAGTAGGGGTAACCGTACACACACCATTTTCGCAAACCTCGCTATTTGGGAATTCACTTGGTTTGTTGTTGTTGTTGTTGAATTTGAGGGGATTTGATGTAATGTAGGTAGTTGATCAAAGAAGTTACATTTTCAGGTGTGTTGCTTGTCTGAGAATTAAAAAAGAAGTTAAGTTTAGGACAATTGTTAAAGGGTTGATGTTAGTCCGATCAATAGGATAGCTATTCATGTTTGAGTTATGTTTATTTTTCACATGGTCTACATCATTTAATTTTTTAATCAGCACCTACACCCTAGACGAGATTCTGCCAATCCCTTTTTGGTTTCCCATTTCATGTAAATCACAATCCACAAGTTAGCCTAAGAGCACTCTATTCCACATATTTTACTGCACCTCCTAGCTGGAAAACACTCCTCAGGTCCAAGGTAAAGCTATCCATGGTTTTTTTGTCACCTCCTTGACGAATGAATCAAATTGATACTTGATAGAAGTATGGTTCTGTTTTTGAGTATATTTACGTTCACAGTTTCATGGGTTTAACTGTTTGATTAAATTGGTCCAATTTTTAACTTATAGCTATCATTTAATTCCATTTTGAATATAGAGACTGCATTCTTGTTTTTGAAGTGGAATTGCGTGCCAATGGCTAAGGCTTCAACACTCACGCCAGCAACAGTCTATCTGTACATTCCCAACATTATTGGTGAGTTTCTAAAGCTACAGGTTGCCCAAAGAAGTGGATTAAGTTCACTCGATGTAGGGACAAATGTTTGAAATACAACTGTGGGTGTTTTGTAGCCTGTACAGATATTGCTTGAATAGATTTGTGGATTGCAAAAAGCTCTATTTTTGGACAATTAGAATCTAGTAGTTCCATAAAGAGCCAAATTAAGAGTTATTCCCGTAGAATACCTTATTTGAGGCTAAACTTTTGTGGGAAGGGCTGAAATTGATGAGGGTTTGACCTAAGTTGATGGACAAGCTTCATCATCTAGCAATATATTGATAAAACATTTTTAATAATTTAAAGAAATACACATATCTTAGATTGATAGATGAGGGTGAAGTGTTATTCAAGTAATTTCTTCCAGAAACATAACCAGCTCTACGTTTTAATATCACCACTAGCAGATTCAGAAAACACATTAAAATAAGTTAGTTTTTTTGGTAGAAGTGGTTACTCTGGCTTATTAGCAACTACTCAGTGTAAAGAGGTGCTCCACAAATGATGATCATAGAGGGTAAAGTCAGTAAAGTGCCACAATATCACTTTTGTTGTGCTTTTTTTGTGTCAAGTGACTTATAATTATGACCCAAGGGAGAAAGTAAGATGCTTGAGATTCTTATTATCTACTCCCTCCGTTCCTTAATTTTGCTCCTTCTTTCCTATTTGAAATGCCCCAGTTTTTTGGTCCACTTCCTTAGTTCCTTTTCCAGGAAAAGGTTTCGTGGTTGAAATTGTCCCTCTCTCCTCTAAACACCATTCAACCACCATTTTTGCTTTATTAAAAAGTGAGCCAAGTCAAAACAAGAACGTAATAATGTGAGGAAGGGAGTATAAATCTAAGTTTCTTTGTTTAAATGCATTCTAATATGTTTATGCTGGAATGTCCATGGTGCAGGCTACATGAGAATTTTAATGAACTGTTGTGCTTTTGCAATATGCTTCACCGATAAAATGCTTTTCTCAATCTTATATTTTGTTAGGTGAGCATGCCCTTGCCCCTCTTATTTGTAAAACAAGCCCTTTTTGTATCAGTGACACACACATGCACATCCATTTTACATATAAAGTGTGGGAGTGACACTTGATTGGACTCACAATTTCAGCTTTGTATGCGATGCATTGGATGGCTGGTTCGCTCGGAAATTCAACCAAGGTATGAAATTACACAATATTTTTAGTTTCATGTGACTTAAATGCATAGTTAGCTGGGCACAATTTATCACAAAATAAAAAATGTCAGATGTTTATAGTGGATTTTCTTTCATTCTATTTTCACGAGTCAGACAGTGCTACTTGTGCATGTGACTTGTTTCACACATGATTTGTGTTTTAATGAGCTCTCCCTATCCCAGTTTTTATAACACCTTTTGGGAAATAAAATGAAGCATAACATTAATAAGAAATACTGTCATTTTATGGTAGAGTCTACGTAACTATGGCTCCTTTTTTTGCTAAACGTAACTATTTATCCTTAATTCCTATGTTACTGTCTTTTATATTGCACATATGAATGATGCTAGGTAACTGGTTTTCTTTTGATTAATATCTGTTGAAAGTTGAAACTCACTAAAGGAAGGTTAATGGCCAATTATTGAAGGTGCAATCATCTTCTACTTTTGGATAATCAATTTTTTTTGGTTCAGTTTCAACATTTGGAGCTGTTTTGGACATGGTGACAGATAGGTTTGCCCCTATACAACTCAATCAATTTTTTTTCTGGTGGCATGTTGTGATTTGATTTATTTATACAAACCTTCTTCATTTTATTTTTATTTTTTGCATTTATTGATATTTCTCTAGGATCAGTACTGCTTGTCTCCTCGTGATTCTTTCGCAAGTTTACCGGTGATTTCTTTGACCAATGCCAATGATAAATTGCTCTTTCATATTACTGCTTATATGTACATATGCTAGTTCTTTTTCTGACTGAGATCTTCAGGCCTGGCTTGCTTTTCTTGTCTTTGCTCACTTTAGATATTGGAAGTCACTGGTTACAAATGTATAGGTAAATATATCTGATACAACTCAATTCTATTTCCTCAAGTGTAATTTATTAACCTATAACTACCTCCACAGGCTCCGACCAAAAAAGTTTTGCTTGCAAAACTGAAATCGGTATTGCAAACATGACTCTTCTTTGAGACGGAGCAATATTTTCCTTTTGGGCTCAGGACGGTCTGTGTGGAGTGTTGGGGTGAGGGTTGGGTGTTGGGGGTGATGGGTACCTTGTGAATTTGGTGCTAAAAGTTGTTTCTATTGTAGCTCCTTCTTGGCCGGGAAAACCAGCCATAAAGATGTGAAGGACAGCAGTAGTTGGCTATTCCGAACATATTATGGAAATCGAAAGTTTATGGCCTATTGTTGTATATGCTGTGAGGTGAATGTGTATTTCTTTGACACAATGCCATGAAAAACTTGTCCAAGAGAATTTTTCTTTCAACTGCACTGATCTTTTTTATTCCTTGTTTTTTCTTGTAGGTTCTTTACATTCTCTTGTTTCTTCTCGCAGAGAACCAGACCGAGAATTTGACTGATGTGAGCCACATAAAATGCTTTACCCTGCTTCTACGAAAAAAAAGAGAGCTGTGTATAAAAAAACTCTTATCCTCAAAAAGAGCCTTGTTGAGTTGTAACAAATGATGCTTTTTTTTAAATGTAATTTTCAAAAACAAAGCTGATAAGTTTAGTTTAAACCAACATATTATTTTTAAAATTACAATTAGGATCAATTACTTACAAGTGTTGTAACTTACTAAAATATAAGGGTTTTACCTTGATCAAACACGACCTTTTTACCATGTATTACTCTCTTTCTTTGAATTAGTATTTGTTGTGCCTTGCGAAGATGTAATGTTATCTTACATCTCTTTGGTTGGGGAGTTGAGCAATTGGGTGGTTTTCCCTTTCTCATTAGTCCTCTTTCTTTTCAGGTTCTCATCAATTCAGCAAAGAAAAGTGGGCTCTACTTTTCCCTGCTTTCCTTACTTCTCTTTGGCTGGGCAACTAAGCAATTGGTCAATCTTATACAGGTAAGCAAGCACCTTAATTACACCAATATCACAGCAACTGAAATGTTGTATCTTTTTGTCCGCATTTTTTATTAAAAAAGCAGTCTGGAAGCCGTTTGATTAAATCCTCTTGAACTGCATAATAGATTTTAATGTGTGCCAATATCTAATTCATTTGAGTACAAAAACACCACAGTAAAATCCCACAATAGTAGGGTCTGATGAGGGGTGTGTATGCAAACCTTATCCCTACTATGAAGCAAAGAGGCTCTTAGACGCTTTCCAAGAAATCCTCGTCTCAAACACAAAAGCACGGACACTGTAGCACATACAAAGTAAAAGCACTAGCAACAAGACCCTAAGCATAGGAAACACACATGCACCAACTATAAACTAAGGTAAAAACGAGCATAAACTAAGGCCCAAAGGTCTAATCCTATATCTCCAATCGTTTCCATCTAAGGTCATATCCTCTATGAGGTCTTGAAGTTGTAAATCTTGTTTAATCACGCACTTCCAACTCTTCCTAAGTCTATCTTTACCCTTTCTCATGCCCACTATTGCAAGCCTCTCGTTCAACCTCACCGGTATCCGGCTATTTTCAAGCAAAAACTTGAAACATCTTGCTAAAACTTCTCAAGGAAAATGAAAGAATTCTTAACATTCCTAGGGCTTTAAACGGATAACCGAAAATTCGATTACCGTCCGCATCCGTATCCGTTTATATGGAAAATATCCGCATCCGTTAAAAGCGGTTATTATCCGTATCCGATTAAGGATATTCGATTGCTAAACGGATACGGATTTGGTAATCATACATCCGATCCGTTTATAATCCGCTCCGCATTGACATCCGTTTAAATACCCGTTTATCCGTATATCCGATCCGTTATATATAGTCTTTCCTAATTTTTTATTTTTATATTTTGTTTCTCTATAGATATCTCAAAGTATAAGACATTTTTATATGCAAAATATATGTGTAAACACATAAAAGTATGTGTNATCGTAGAATATCATAAACTATAAAAAATAAGAAAATTAATATCCCATAAAAATTATAGTTGATTTAATAATATTTTAATTTAGTTTAATTGAAAATTCAAGTATTGTTTAATTTAGTTTTAAAAATTGGAAACGGATACGGATATATCCGATATCCGACCGATATCCGACGGATGCGGATACGGTTTTGATTTTTCAATATCCGTCTAGATCCGTATCCGAATTCGATATCCGACAAAAATAAACGGATGCGGATTTGGTAATGGCACATCCGATCCGTTTAAAATCCGTTTACACCCCTAAACATTCCTATGTTTACCCTTTCTCATGCCCACTATTGCAAGCCTCTTGTTTCACCTCATTGGGGCCTCTTGCATCTATTTGATCGAGTATCGGACTACTTTCAAACAAAAACTTGAAAAATCTTGCCAAAGCTTCTGAAGGAAAATGAAAGAATTCTTAACATTCTCATACTTCTTGAATTGTTAATATGTAGAAGAGGAAGCTGTGTGTTTGTTTGCTTGTGGTTCTGGAGCCTGTTTGGGGAGGGTAAAGTTGTTCTGAACTACTGAAATCATTGGTGCTACCAAATGGGTGTTAAGTAACTCACGGATGCAAATCATTCAAATTGATAGGTGCATAATACTATCCCGCGACCTATCAGGGCTATCACTATCTAACATTTATGTATCTGAGCCGGGAGTTTTTTTGGAAACAGTCTTCCTACTTCATAGTAGGCTGTAAGGGCACACACAACGTCTCTAGACCCTACTTTTGCAGGATTCTACTGGGTTTGTTGTTGTTCTGTATCACTATCTAAATTGATCGTTTTGCTCTATATTCAGATGAAGACTGCTGCAGATATATGTGTACACTACGACATTGCAAAGCAGCAATAGCGCGGCCGCGGGGGTGCCCCTAACGCAAATGTGTGTATTCTGATGACAACATTCTCTCAGTTTTTATGGTCCCTTTTGTCATTGTTGGAACAGAAAAGCGCCCATCTGATGAAGAAACGAACGTTTTTTTTTTAAATTATTAGAGTGCATTGAGTGATGAGCTTAGAGGCTATACAGCAAGCCATCATAAACCTGACTGGTTTGAGTGCACATTTGGGGACTTGTATATGATGTTATTATTGCCTACTAACTGTTTTCGTGGTTTCTTGTTTCCTTGTGTAGAAGAAACTACACAGTTATTATTATTCCTTAAAGTCTATTGAAGTTGGCACATAAGTTATTTCCCGTTTAAAGTATTCGTCGAGTTTGTCTTTTTAAAGTCAAACTAAACGAATTTGGGCATCGCTAAATCCACCCAAAAAAAATGGCTATATCCACACTTTTTTCTGCATTTTGCTGAATCCACACCCATGGATATAATTTTGACATTAGTGGGGATTTAGCAAATTTAATTGAAAAGAGTGGATATAGAGGGTGTTTGGATTCAATTTGAAAATAACTTATAGCTTCTACTTTACTAAAACACAATTTTAAATGTTTGCTTTAGCTTATAAATTATGGCTTTAGAAGTTAAAATTAAGGTCTAGAAATGCTTTCTAATAAAGCTAAAAATACATGCTTTCTACTTCTAAATTATGGTTCTACTTTTACATAACTTAACGCACTCCCAAACACCCTCATAATCATTTTTGAAGTAGATTTAGCAACACCCAGCAATTTTATCATCAATTACAAAAAAAAAAGAATGGCACATGTACAATGTGCTATCCCTGTGTCACTATTTTTGTCTTTTCTTTTTGTGTTTTGTTTGCCTTATTATTTTTTGTTCGTCCTACTATTTTTTATTCATACTCTTTTCGTCCTAAATTAATCTTCCCATATAATACTATGGCTTCTCGATAATTTATGTTTATATGCATTTTTCATTTATTATTTAATAAAGTAAAATGTTTTTATCATTTCTTGTTTTGTACGGAGTATAATATTTGATGTAGTTTGAGCGATGTAATTTGTATTTTTTATTTGTATATCAATTTGTAAATAAAATTAGTCCATATTAATTTTGTACGGAGTATTTTTTTATGGAATGTATTGGGTTGTCCATATTAATTTTTATCTATATTTTATAAATTTCAATGAAAGCAAATTATTATATGTGGCATCTAAGGTCCATAACTCCATGGTGGATTTTCATATATATTAAATAAACGCAATCAAGTGTTGAAATAAATATTTTTTTAAAAAATGTGAGAATGTCCGTATGGACCTTCGGTCTTCGGTCTACTATAGAATCTCTCATCAAGGAAATATTTCATTTTTCTTAATCTATCCAAAAGTCAATTAAGAATAAAATTTGGAACAAAAGGAATAATATTTTAGATAGTGAACTTCTAAAGTGGTACAACTCCATAGTTTAAATGATGAAAAATATCAAAACAATTATTTGATGAACATTTTTTTACTGATGACTCTAAAGGAATGAACCTTAATTGTACAGAGTAGTTGAGTACTATGTTGGCAATATTACTTTTTGTGTACTGATTTGTGAAAACACATATTACGAAGGATAACTTTTTTTTTAAATTTACTACTCGTATATTTTTAAAATTACATAGTTAAAAATTACATAGCAAAAGATTCAAAAAATACGGAGTACTCCGTAAGAATGATATGACTATGCCCGCCAAAAAAAACTAAAAATTTAATCCGGAGGAATACCAGAAAAAGATACTCCCTCCGTCTCAGAGTATTTGTTCACTTTCATTTTTACATAACATCTCATACACTTCTTTAAACCATTTTATCTTGTAATTTATATATTAAAAAATTATATAAATTATATATTAATAATCTGTTAAGACAAATCAAACAAGATTGATTATATTTAGACTTACATTGAGAGAATTTTATGAGTCAATACGAATATAGTGGGATTAAGGATGATGATTGATGATAATGTAGCAGTCAAATAACCGATAATGGCGCCACGCCGACACCTCACCTTACTTTGATTCGCTCTCTCTCTCCCGGACGCTTTCATTTCATGACTTCTACCTTCCGATTCTGAACTTTCAACTGATAGATTGAGCTCGGATTTCGACGGAGATGGCGACCGCCACCGAGTTTCCGGCGGATTTGGAGTATCAATCGGGCTTCGGGAACCACTTCTGGTCCGAGGCTATCGCCGGAGCTCTTCCTCGAGGCCAGAACAGTCCTCTCGTCTGTCCGTTCGGTCTCTATGCTGAGCAGATTTCCGGCACCTCTTTCACCTCCCCTCGCAAACTCAATCAGCTCAGGTTTTTAATTTGCTTCTCCGATCATCCCTCCTCCCCTCCTGTCTCTCTATCTCGTGTTATCAGTAGTAGCTGAAGCTTTGATTATGGTTTAATTGAAGCGAATTTGCTTTGTTGAGAGATGAATATCACGGTTTTTTTGCATGAATTGATGAGTAACAAAGTTAGACATCTGCAGATATTTAACCAGTTCTCTCCCTTTAATAATGGAAATTTAAGTCAAATCATATGCAACGATGAGTTGTAGTAGATTCTGTTTTTATGATTAACATCTCTAGCTAGTGAATTTCATCGTTCTGCACAAGATGTTTTAGGGGGGTGTATTCAATTGGGACTTTGTAGGATTTTTTTGGACTTTCAAAATCTGAGGGTATTCTATTCGTTAACCTAGTTTTAATTGAATGTGATCTTCTGATGAAAGCAATGCTTTATAATGGATTTATTTGTGTGGACAGTTGGCTATATCGGGTTAAGCCATCAGTTACTCATGAGCCATTTAAGCGTAGAGTACCAACTCATGAAAGGCTTGTTAGTGAATTCAACCAGACAAACAGCTCTGCTACACCTACTCAATTACGGTGGAAGCCTGCGGATATCCCCGAAAGGCCAACTGATTTCATCGATGGGCTGTACACTGTATGTGGAGCTGGCAGCTCATACCTCCGGCATGGTTTTGCGGTTCACATGTAATTTGGAATCACATACTTACATTTCTCTATTTTTCGGATATAATTCTGGAATGCATTTGTGTCTCATGAAGCATTTTCTCTGTATGTGAATTTAGTGCAGTGCCTATGATGACAAACTTATCAAATCAGGCAATACTTTAAACCCGCGTATCAAAATTATTTTGATATTCATCCCTTTGTTGTTCCATTATAAAGAAACTTATCTATAATTTTTCCATCTTTAACTTCGAAATTTACATCATTTGAAAATCATCATTCATATACTTTCATTTATTTCTTATTTATTTGTAAGTGACATGATGGGGACAAATTGTGATTAGTGGAGATAGGTTTTAACTTCATTTCAATGCTCAGAGAGCTTAAGTCTTTAAATAAGAGAAGTTTGACTTCTATTTGATATATTAGGCATACTTTGTATTAGGGAAAGTTAAAGTCCAGCATCATCTTTTGTTTTACCTTTGTTTTCAAGGATAAATCTGTTTCTTTTTCTTCTGTATACTTAAGCACTTGTGGAAATGTAGGTATACGGCTAACAAATCAATGGACAACTGTGCATTCTGCAATGCTGATGGGGACTTTTTGATAGTTCCTCAAAAGGGAAGTAAGTTATGACCATGTTTACTAGTGTAACTAATGAGACATTTTTTTCAGTGACCTTCGTATTGAGCTTCCGAAAAGCAGCTCCAATCCGGTGCTTTCTTAAATATAAGCACATAATGTATTTTCAGAAAAACTAATTAAAAACACTTTTTCCCATTTTCCTATGTAACATTTCATTTAAAAGTAAAATGTTATTTTATAAAAGCACTTATTGTTTGTTAACCAGTCATCCCAAATGCACACTTAGTTTTCTCATCTAATGGTAATCCTATGAAATTTCCTATTATCAGTTCTACTGCTTTTAAGACAGCTATTTTTGTCTGCTCGATCTTAATGTTAAGCCTTCCTAAATTTGCTGGTTTTATATGCTGAAATGTTGGCTGAAGTCCTCTTTGTCCTTTGCTTACCATGTAGGGTTGTGGATTACAACTGAATGTGGTAGGTTGGAAATCAGCCCCGGTGAAATTTTTGTGGTACCTCAAGGTTTTCGCTTTGCTGTTGATCTGCCTGATGGAGACTCACGTGGTTACGTTGGTGAAATTTTTGGAGCTCATTTTCAACTTCCTGATCTTGGACCGATAGGTAAACATAAAAGTTCAAACCTACTTACCATTGTGCATTTTATATACGACTGCATTCGGTAGCCAGCCATATTCAGCCTATTATGCATGCCAAACGCTTCTCATTTCATAAAACGAGAAGATTCAAATAATTCAATCATTTCAGCTGAATAGCGCCTACCATGAGGACACTTATTAGATTCTTATGGTATGCTTTTGATGATTCGGTTTAGGCGCAAATGGTCTGGCTGCTCCAAGGGATTTTCTTGCTCCAGTGGCATGGTTCGATGATACCAGCCATCCAGATTACACTATAGTGCAGAAATACGGTGGTGAACTCTTCACTGCGAAACAAGAGTTTTCACCATTCAATGTGGTTGCTTGGCACGGCAACTATGTTCCTTATAAGGTCACTATTCCTCTAGATTTTTGTTATGTTTCCAATTTGGTTTTAATCTAGAATAGAGAAAGGGACTAGAGGTCACTAATTGCCAACTTCTACCACTCACGATCACTTCTTTAACTCCTCATAACCACTTGCTTTAATAATAATAAAGAAATAGTAATAATAAATATGTATCAATTTTGCTGCCCAGTTTTTGTAGTAATTGGACAAAACAACTCATATAGTTTTTATGCTTGCTTGGCTGCGGGGAGAAAATAAGATGAGAGAAAGGGAGAAAAAAGATGCTCCTTACAGTCCTTAGTAAGAAAGAAATGTATGAGAAAGGGAATGTATCATTAGTAGAAAAGGATGAACCTCATTCCTAAGAATAGGAATTTTACCCCAGGGGAGGTAAATTGAACTATAATTCAAGTCTAACAAATAATAAGTGACATCTATCTCTGGTAAATCCAAGGGCTCCGTGATGTGCATGTCGCTGCTCAATGCCATTGCAAAGTGTTGAACTTGGGCAGTACCACTTTAATACCCCTTGTTTGTCAGGCTAGGCCCCCGGCAGGAATATATCATTTGTATGTTGTTTGGTATAGTAGAATAGACAGAGAAGATAGATAAGAGCGAAAAGCTTTTACCAGAAAAGCAATGTACTATTATTACTACTATTAATTTTGTTTTTGGAAATTAGGAGGGAATCGAGTCACCATAAAAGAGAAGACTAGAACAGGAAAATGGATAAAATGGGAAATATTCAACAGATGCGAGCTTTCCCTTTTCTTCTCATTCGAGAAAATAAAAAATAAAAAGTGGTGGACTTCGTACCATTTTACTCGGTATTCCCCATTTCTCTTTTCTACCAAACTAGAGAACATTTCCTTTTCTTCCCCTTTTCTACTATACCAAACAAACCATTAGGCTTTATGGGACAAGTGCTTTATTTGCAGTATGATCTAAGCAAGTTCTGCCCCTATAACACTGTTTTGTTTGATCACAGTGATCCATCAATAAATACAGGTGCATTCCTCATTCCTTTCTGCTCAAAGTGTTGCTTGGTCTCTATCATCATCATCATATCATCATTTTTATATTTATTTTTAATTTACCCCCCAGCTGCTAGATATTAAGTGCAACTTCAGTTTGATTCATATTTTAAAAATGGAAATGCAGTTTTGACAGCACCAACAGACAAACCTGGTGTAGCATTGATGGATTTTGTCATTTTCCCACCGCGGTGGTTGGTCGCAGAACACACTTTTCGTCCTCCTTATTACCATCGCAATTGTATGAGTGAATTTATGGGCCTAATCTATGGAGGATATGAGGTCAATTCTTTCTCCATTATTCCCTCTTTTTTTCTCTTTACGAAATGAAAAGGAATCTACTTTTGGTAGCCTTTGATCAATGAACTCACTTAGCCCCAACATAGAGATTTTCCACTTGCATGATTAACATCAAAACCTACAAGAGGTTAAGGTAGTTGCCTTAATAACACGAACCAAACGATACCCAATTCACTCCATCAACAACACATGCTTTAACTTTTCTTAGCTTGTTGTTTTCATCAGGCAAAAGCTGATGGTTTTCTTCCAGGCGGTGCAAGCCTCCATAGCTGCATGACTCCACATGGTCCCGATACGAAAACATACGAGGTTAAACAACTACTCCCTCCCTCTCATCTGCACAAACACGGCTATTTTTTTTATGCTCTAGTTCTAGGCTTGCTCTTAGGGTCTGTTTGGAATCCGGAACATGTTAGGGAAGGTAAATATGAAAAAGATTGGAAACTTAAAAAAATTTAGGGAAATAAGAAAAAGAAATGCTTCAAACTAAATAAATAAATGTTAGATATATTTCTTCAAAAAAAATATTTTTTCTTTATATAAGGACTAGAAAAAAATACATGTAACAAGAATCAAGAATACTCACATTTGTAGTTCCTTTGTACTCTCTTCGTCCGGAATTCGTTCTCAACTTTCTCAAAACTCTAATTTCTAAGAAATGAGTTAAAGATGTCAAACAAGTCGCTCAAAAGATGAGTTTATCACTCGTTCATGTCAACACTGCTGATACTTCATCTTGAGATATTTTAAACAATTCGACATACTTTCTTTATTGAATATATAAAGTGGACAACTAATTCCGAACAAGAAAAAACAAGAAAATAGACAATTAAATCCGGACAGATGGAGAATTTTTCAAGGTAACACAAGGGAAAAAAACACTCCTTCATATACTGCCTGTTTGCAGAAAACCATTGCGCTTGGAAATGAAGTGGGGCCAGATAAAATCACGGGAACGATGGCGTTCATGTTCGAATCATGCCTTGTGCCTCGGGTATGTCCATGGGCAATTGGTTCACCATTCATGGATCATGATTACTATCAGTGTTGGATTGGTCTGAAGTCTCACTTCACACATGGATCATCTTCAAACCCATAATGGGAACCCTTTTATAAATTTAAATATTGGATATCAGCAATGAAATAAAAGCTAATGTATGTATGCAATTCAAACAGAAGCGAAAAATTATAATAATGATGTATATAGCGTGTTTTACTTGGTATTTGAGCTTTTGATCTTGGAAAATGCTCAATTGTAACCATGTTGTCTTTCAAGTGATGGGGTGTGGCTCCCTTTTGGGTGATGACCATCATGGCCGTGACAAGTTTTCTCATATCTTTTTTCAACCCATCAAAATAATTTACTTTTGTACCACATCACGTTTTGGTCACTCTTCCTAATCAAGTCCAATTACATATTTTTCTACTCGTACCCACATGCTTACGAGACACCTGCGTATCAAACCCGTCATTACACATAGCCTTAACATCAACGGGAGTTAATCTTTGCTAGTTGGACCAAATAATAATGGATGATCAAAAGTGATAATAGTACGAAGTAGGTATGTTTCTTTATGGTTGTTATACCAAACCTCATGGATGAAAAAGAATTGAACATGAAGAATTATTGTAAATACTCCATAATGCGAGTACACGTATGTGAATTGCGATACCATGTATTTTACGGAGTACAAGAATAGTTTTCAATTATAGAATTATTGGTAGTGTTTCCAAAAAATCAATATTTTTACAATATTACTCCTTCTGTCCTACAATGATTCACTCTTCACTTATTGTGATACCATGTATTTTACAGAGTACAAGAATAGTTTTCAATTATAGAATTATTGGTAGTGTTTCCAAAAAATCAATATTTTTACAATAATACTCATTCTGTCCTACAATGATTCATTCTTCGCTTTTCAAAAATAATGAGAATTTTTTTTATTTGTGTGTTTTCATTGAATATTTGATGAAACAAAATATTCCAGTCACTTCTTATGTTAAATATACAAGTTTTATTTATCAAAAAATGCTAGGGGTACACCAAACGTGTACCCCAAATGTACATCACCCCCTCCCTTGCCACATATTTTGGCATGTAAAATAAAAAAGAAATATATAAATAAAAATGAGTGGTAATGAAGAGGGTGGTGTACATTTGGGGTACACTTTTAGTGTACTCCTAGCATCCCCTTTATTTATTATATCTATGTCAGTCTTTAAATAAAATAAATTTAAAAACTTAATATTTTGCTTTATTTTACATAAAATGTAGTTTAGTTAGAGACGAAGAAAGTACATGAAGAGAATGTTTAACTTACATGGATCCCTAATTTTTTAGTCAAAATGCAAGAAAAATAAACAAGTTGTTTTCAAGTAATTTCAAGTAGGATCATGCTACACTTACACCAAAAAATATACCCCATTTGTACACCACAGGTTTGCACAAACATTTCGATGGTTTACACCGACACAAGTGTTGGTGCGTTAATAAAAATTCACACGGACACAAATGTTGGTGCGTTTAACAAAAATTAGTTTTACACCAACACAAAATGTTGGTGCAAAACTGCGGGGTACAAATTGGGGTATAGACCTTGGGGTACACATAGCATAATCCTTTCAAGTATAAAACCAAAAAGGTTATAACTACATCCAAAATGGTAGTCATAAACTCTTAATATTATGTCAAATTAAAGTCTTTACGGTACTAGGTTCAAAAAATCAATACTCTGTCCGAAATTAATACGGAGTATTTCTTATTTCTTTTTAGGGTTCTCTCAAATTAATCTTGCGTATTTGGAATATTTTTGTGGCTTACCTTTTTTCTCTATCCTCTGTATCACTTTCAATCATTTAATTTCACTTTTCTTAAACTCTGTACAAAATCAAACTAGGAGTATTAATTTGAGATGGAGGGAGTGTTTTTTATCTCCTAACACTCCAACAAACTAGGGGTGGACACGGATCGGGACGGTCCGGATTTAGGTTGTTCCACGTCTTGTCCCGTTATATATAAACGGTTCGGAACGGTTCGGATTACAATCTTATCCCGGTTTGTCCCATAAAATTCGGGATCGGAACAAACCGGGACGAATTCAGGTCGTCCCACTTTGTCCTAATCCCGAACATAAGAAGGTGGGTACTCAATCCAAAAGTCACAAAATGTCATAAAGAAAAGTCATTAACTCCCAAAGACATCCAAAAACTAGTTGTGTACACCAAGCAATTAGCCATTGTCCACTGGATTTTTATAGAATTGCGTATTACGGAGTAAAAAACTTTAAAAGTGAATTAGCTTAATAATGGGACGGAATTGGGCTCCGGAGTCTGGACTTTGGAGTTAAGACCAAATAAATTTAATAATTATAAATTTTGGGTTGAAACTTGAAGTTAACTTAATTAATTAAAGAATGAGTGTATAGAATTAGACTTATATATTACTCCCTCCGTTCCACAAAACCCTTCCGGTTTTGACTTTGGATAAAAATAAGGAAAGCGTAATTTTGGTTGACTTTCCAATTTTACCCCTGATGTGATGGAAAAAAGTAAGATGTGATAATTTGGTTATTAGTGAAAAAGTATGATGTGATAGGTAGGGTATGAAAAAGTAGGGGTAAAAGTGGTTTTTTAATAGAAAGTGGAAGTATTTTATGGAAAGCAAAAAAAACGAAAGAGTAAGGGTTTTGTGGAACGGAGAGAGTAATAGAGTAGATAAAACGGAACAAAAGGGACGGATCGGTATAAATTTAAGTTGTCCCGCTCATGTCCCATTTGATAATGAGACGGAACGGGTTCGGAATAAAAAAAATGGTGTCCCAATTATTCGGTACAATTACAAAACGGATTCGGGATTTTTCGGAACGGTCCAACGAGAACGGATTTCATGCTCACCCCTACAACAAACCCTACATTTTTAATTTTTTGCCTTACATTTTTAAAAAGTTAAAATACTTTTAGAGAGTAAAAAAATTGACTGGCATTTATACGCAAAAGTACGGTAGTTGAAATCTTTGAATTGCCATAACGGCAAGTGGAGCAGAAATGGCAGAGCAAAGTCCCCACAAAGTCAATTGAGATCACTCCCTCCATTATTAAAGGAAGGGAAAATGCTAGGGTAGACAAAGGTGTACCCCACTTGTTCTCCACCCCTTTCATAACCACTCAAATAGACAAGAAAATTAAAAAAAAATAAGTAAATAAAAATCAAATACAAATGAGTGGTTATGGAAGGGGTGGGGGACAAATGGGGTACACCTTTGGTGTACCCCTAGCATCTCCCTAAGGAATAGGAAGATCCTTGACGCTCGATGTGTTCGGCTTAGACAGTCAAGAGAAAATAAATTAAATTTTGATTACAGATTAGCAGTAAAGAATGAGCATGCACTTTGTACTTGCAAAGACCATATGTTTAGTACAATTACTTTACAGTGCATGTATCAAGAAGCGAACTCAAGTCTACCCTTAACACTCTTTGCCTTTATCTTTATCAATTGCACAACACCATCTATTATTTTTCATTTTTCAACTACACAACTCCCTCTAGGTGAAACCCCAACATAGTCTCCACACAAAGAAATTAGGTAAATCACACGAGATACATCAACACATCATGGATAATAAGATTTTTGTCACGCTTGATCTCTACTACATCGAGCTGAAACAAAAAGGTATTCTCCAAAATTCAAACCCCATTTTGTAGGTCACCAGCAAGGTTCACCAATTGTCTTTGTCAGTTAAGTTATGCTCGGAAGCATCCATTTTCACTCACACTGCTATGGATCGTGAGCATGATCCATGCTTGATCCTCGATCGTCATGCGACACCACCCGTGTGAAGAGGTTGTGACACTTTGCCACGGTGGCAAAGTGTCCTATTTTTTATCTTTTTTTAAATTTAAGACAATAAAAATAATTTAAATTTTTATGCAGTCTCCACTCTTAAACTCAGTAGCACACATACTCTAAATTTTTTCCCTTTGTCCCTAATCATTTGTCATTTTTGATTTTTTAGATTCAACCCTGTATATAATTAATGAAATTAAATGATTTATTAATTAAATAAATTAATACTCCGTATTTTAAAAATATTTTAATATCAATACATAATACTCCCTCCATCCCAGAGTTTTTGTCTACTTTCATTTTTACACCCCATCCAATACACTTCTTTAATCTATTTTATCTTGTAATTTGTATATTAAAAAATTATAGAAATTATATATTAATAATCTATATGTTAAGACAAATCAAACAAGATCACACATGATTATATTTAGGCTTACACATTGAGAGAATTTGAGGAGTCAAAGTATTTAGATGAACAGTTACAAAAGTCAAAAGTGGACGAATATAGCGGGACGGAGGTAGTACTATGTATCAATTTACTTGATCTGAAAAGTTTAATTCAAAAAGTCAAAGCATAACACATGGCATAATAAGACGCTCCATCCCCCCTGCTGTACTCTCCCCAATCATCATCATCGTCATCCGCAAAAAAGCGCAAAACATGGCCGCCAAATCGCCACTGAAGGCGTCTCTTCCGGTTCTCCTCCTCCTCCTCCTCTTCTGCGCCGCCGCCTACGGCCGTTTCATCGCGGACCGTGCCTCCGACCTCGTATCGGACGGCGTGAGCAGCTCTGACGGTCGATCGGGGATCCTCCACCTCGGACACCGGGTGTTTGCGGCGGCGGAGGAGGGGAATTGCGAGCAGACGTACGGATTTTTGCCATGTACTAACACCGCGATCGGAAACCTTTTCCTGATTTTGATCTATGGATACCTCATGTTCCTCGCCGCCACCTACCTGTCCTCAGGCAGTGAGCTGCTGCTTGAGATTCTCGGTCCCGGCCTCATCGGCGGCCTCTTCCTCCCTATGCTCGGCGCTCTTCCTGATGCTATGCTTATTCTCGGTATAAACTTTTTTTTCTCCCTCCTTTTTTGTTTTATCTCTACACAAAAGAATTGATTTTTTTTAAGAAAGATTTAAAATTAGAGTAAACAAGGGTTTAACACTTTTACTAATTAAAAAGAATTCTGTCGGTCTAAAAACTTTGAGTGTTATTTTTGAATGTTTTAATGAGTTCAGTGAAAATATTTAAATAAAAAGAGTACTCCATGACATTTTTGACAAAATAAAAAGAAGTTTGGTAGCATTTTTTTAAATGCTCTTTTTATTAACTTGTCAACTGGAAGAAAATCCTTGACAAAATAAAAAGTTAATGTTTTTTCTATCTTTCAATAATATGCAACTGTAATGAAACTTATTGGACTTATTGAACGGAGTGAGTGTTTTGTAGCATCCATTTTTTTGGGTACTTTTTGTATTGCAACCATTTATAAGCTAGTTTTGTTAGTTCCTACGTTGTGACCCACAAAATTGGGAAGAACAAATGGAATCTAATTTTTTTTGTTCAG